TAAACCCGAAGACCCACAAACAAAATCAAGAACCACAAAGCCCTCCACCATGGCAACATGTACCTCACCATGGCATAAAACAATTTAAAACAATGCAACTCGAAGCGAAATCATTTTTGACCCTTGCCTGTTAACTGTTTTTACTACAATGGCACGTCGCCCGAGCTTGTTTTTGCTTGATGTTTCTTGAATATGTTGGTTGTATTTTCTATTTTTCTATCCTCCACCCCTTATCGGCACTGTTGTGTTGTGTTGTGGAAGGCTTGGCTTGACACACTGTAGCATTGCACCAATGTAAATATTTAGTTTTTTGGCCGGACCTTGCAACTGCTTGACAGGTACCAGACTACAAGGATGAGCCAGCGATCTCGGCGTTACGAGGCATGCAAAAACCACCGGACCTGAAACAAAAACACAAGTTTGTACATGTTTGCGGCGCAGTGTTGAACGTGAAAAAGTTCGGAACCAGACGCGATAAACTGGGTGCAGAATGAATTTTGCCAATACCCGGCCATGTCGTTTGCGTCATTCCCGTCCCACCGCTGTCACCACATCACCACTTCACCACTGACCGCGAGCATCCGTGAGCATTCACGAGCCATGGGTATCCGTGGGTCCCAGAATGTTACACGTCACACGGCGAGGAGCCGCCCCGGCGGCGCTCTGGGAGCCGTCGACGATCCTTGAGCCGCCGGCGCTCGCCGAGCCGACGGCGCTCTCCCAGCAGACGAAGGCGGAGAGAGGCCGCGAAATGGATATGAACAAATGTATGACATGAAAAAACATGTTTGATCATGTATGCAAAATATTGAAAACGATTGTATACACGAAATATAGAGTGTTTTGGAGTATGAATCATGTAGGGTGGTGCATGCAATGGTATGATGAAAGAGGACAGCACTCGCATCAGTAAGCACATTCACTATGCAATTGGCGCAAACATCGAGAAGCGCTGCACGGGTTTGTTTTGTCAGCAGGTTTCCAGGGAACGGGAAGCCAGAGATCGAGACGCACGGGAAAGAGACCTGCGGGCTGGGGCCGTGTTGGTGCAGACAGCAATGTGAGATAGATCGCTTGCAACATTTCCAGCTAGTTTGGTGTCCTTGTAAGCCCCTGCAAAAGTATCCATTATGTCTTGATTGATCAAGGACAGAGATCGGGAAACGAGGGAAAGAGACCGATCAGACAGAGACTGGAGGGAAGCGTCGCAGCCTCACTGACATGTTCATCGCAGTTCAGCACTGACTAGGCATTTAGCACTGACTTAGCTTGTGTGTCATAGCAGCGAAAGGCGAGAGTTGCGTGAACGGCGGTCACGAGAACGGGAGAAGGTGCTGTGTTTGTGGACTGGCTTGTCAGAGACAACTTCCAATGCAATTTGAGCGGCTGATAGCTTCAGGACCGCATAGCAACAATGGCATCGGCCGTGTTCAATCCATTTTTAGTGCATTTGCTCTACAGGGTCGGGAGCGCCCCTGCGCGACATTGCAGGTGCAAGTTTTTTCTGTCCACAGCAAAGCAGCAACATTGATAATTTTTGATCATCATTGTATATGATCATTTGCGATTTGGCAACCATTGCATTTGAGCCAAGCGTTCCGTCATGGGAAGGTTTCTGGGATCCCTGCCTCCGTGACAGAGGAGCGTCTTGAGGTGCTGTTCCAACAAAATTCAGTTGTCGGTTCTGCCGGTTCCATAATCTTTCACCAATTGTGAAAGGCTGTGGCTTGGGAAAAGGCGGTAGCAGCAGGCTCTTCAATGCCCAATGCTGTGAAATTCGAGCTGAGGCCCCAGTGCTAATCCAAGGCGGAGAGCGCGCCCAGCCAAAGCAAAGATTTGCGCCAAGGTATGAGGATCACCGCTTTGGTGGGAAAGCCCTGGTGGAGTTCCCTCACAAGGAGACTAGTTTTGCCCTGTCAGACTAAACGTGCTTGGAAATCTAGGAAGCTGTCTTCACTTAGACTCAGACTAGGGCCTTTCAGTTGCCACAGGAAGCAGCCCAGATGTTCAGGGAGGCGGGACCATAAAAGGGTTGAATATTTTTCTTTTTCAGTGGATAGGGTGGAGTCGTGCATGTCATGGCTGTTCGGAAGTTGGAACGACTTGGCCCGGGCGCGCGTAATACCGGGCGCCCTGTTGCATAGAACCCGTGGGCCCCAGTGGAGACAGAGCCCGCCAAGCGTGGGAGGTAGAACTCGACCAGGTCCACAAGGCGCTTCAGGTCTCAAGGAAAGTGTCCTCAAGATGGGAACGTTGATTGACCAACGTGATGAAATGGAGTTCAGGAATCACGTTAACAGATCGCGGCAGAACTACATCTTCGTCATGGGCTCAGGTCCGGAAGAGGCAGTCATGCGGCTGGCCTTGCTGCAAGAGCTCGGAGCAGCGGCTCGAGAGGAATGGGGCGAGCACACGGTCGACAAGCCAAGACACCTCGAAGCAGCGAGGAACTACGGCACAAAGAAGGCAATACTCGACGTGGACATGATCTTGACTGGAAGGTGGGACTGATGAAGGTGTTCGGAGGGCCGGTGAAGAGCCTTCTGGATGCAGGCGGCGTCCAAAGACCCTGATGATGCTTGCGGCTCTTCAGCCGAGAGGGTGTCCCGCCACCTGATGGAGTGTTTCCATCGGCGCAGAGCCCAGAGACGGAGGAAGAGGACGCCTTGGAGGAGCTTGAGCAGTGCAATGGCATCGCCAACTTCTCCTCAGTTTTGGAACAATGACAGGAGGCAAAAGAAGAGATAGCAGCTAGCACGGTATGCAAGCCAAGGACTTGCGCGGCTAACCACGAGCAGGCAAGGAAACCGAAGAGGACTACGGCGTCAGCGCCTTATTGTCCAAGTTGGCGCTCGTTTTGAAAACCAGACAAAAATGTGAAGAAGCGGTTGGTCATAGATTTACGCCGCAGCGGCGGAAATCAAACGTGCATGGTTGAAGAAAGAACTACATTGCCTCGTGTCAATGGATGTCATTCGGGCTGGTCGCAAAATGGAACAAGTTGAAGCTCAGCTGATAGGGGCGCAAAGATGTGAAGATCTGGATGCAGAGATCTGCTTCATTGACATATAGCAGACGCATTCTTCAATTTTGCGGTCAAGGCATCCGAATTGAAGAGCTGTCTCGCCGGCGCTGCGGGCTTTAGGTATGAACCGCAACGCTCTTCGGGTACAAGGCGGCGCCTCTCTTGATGGGGAGGCTGTCGGCGGCTTTGGGACGCCAGCGCCTGCGCGCAAAGCTGTGGGGGCGCGTGACGCAAATCTGCCTCGACGACGTTTGAGAAAGAGCGCGTCCTGTTGACGATGTCTTGTACAACCTGGCGGCCATGGAAGTCATGATCAGCCTATTCGAGGTCCGCGGAAACACAGACCCTGGCGTGACGAGACACATCACCTTGCCGCCCAAAATGTTTGTCAAGTTCAATTGTCAGACCAACTCAGACGGAATCATGATCAGCCTTTGAGAGCTGCGATCCGCAACGGGTAAACTGTCGTGGATCTCAAGAGTTTTTCCTCGGTTGAAGGGTGGGAGCTGCGCTCCCATGGTGTCGTCAATCTCCAAGCTGGCATGCCATCGGACCTGGGGTGCGTCGCCTATAGTGAGAGACACTCCGCGCTGAGCTTGCTCAGGCTCAGACCATTCAGCAGCAGCAGCAGCGGTATGGCTAGCCAGTCCGAGAGACCAGGTTGGTGACCACGCACGAGGTCTTGAGCTAGGCAAGCGCCGCAACGTGGAGAAGTCAAGGCAAAATTCGTCTGGAAGTTCCACGCCTCCTCAACATGGATCATGGATCTCAAAGCATCCTAGAGACGGAAGATAGTGGCTCTCGCTGTGGGGCGTGTGGAGTCGCAGAAGTGATCGCCCAACCTTGACACAGGAACGCAATCTGCTCCATATTTGGCAGAGCTGAAGTGGTGGCATGTAGAAAGGTTTTCAAATGGGATGAAGCATTAGAGAGACAGCTCACCTTGTGCAAGATGTCGCCCCGAAACCAAGACAGAGCCGACTAGGCCTGGCCGAGAGTATGGCTGGGCCGTGGCCTGGGTGCTGAGAGCGGTCGAGGCGGCGGAGGCGAAGGCAAAGCACGTGACCCTAGACTGGAACAAGAAGCTGGTGAAGTTAAACATTTATTCATCCCCAAGTCCAAGACTGACCAACAGGCGAAAGGAGTAGCACGGTTGTTACATGCTGTTACACTGCTAAAGGGCGTCCATGATCGAAAGGAAAACCCGTCACGAAGGTGGCCATTCAGCTCATCGATCAGGAGCACGGCGTACACCTGCAAAGGCCTGGGGTACATCGAAGATGCCCTGCAGGATACCTGCCCTTGAACCACAACGTCCGGCGTGACAGCCAACGCCTTGGCGGCGACCCACTGGGCGCAGAGCAAGAAGCAGTCGAAGCTGAGGAACCAAGCACAGCAAACACACCCGGACCTCGAGGAATAGGCTTGCCGGGCACGCCAGCTGCTGCTCACTATAGACAAAGAAAAATCGACTCGATGATGATCACCCCCACGGCGACATTGGGAAACAAAACCCACGGCAGGCGAAGAAGGCAGGACAGCTGTGGGCGATCTCAGGGTCATCTCGAGGCAAGGTCAGGCATCGTGCCACCAACGCGAGCTGTGGTGATTAACGCAAGAGAATGCGCGAAGTGCAGTTCATTGGAACAGCGCGCGGCAAAGTCAGAGGAATTTAGAAATTGGAGCAACCCATAGACCTGAACCAAATGAAGGAATGCCATCAAGAAACCGACAGATGCCACCTACAGAAAACAAGGGTGGAGGGTTGAGCATGGAAGTTTGAGAAGATAAACTTGTCAAATCGTTGACTCCAGCCACAACGCTGTGCCAGCACATTGGCGACTCCTTGGAAGTGGACGGTGCTCGGCTGGACGTGAGGCGCTCTATATCTACATGTGATACCAGTTTGTTCACTTTGCCCTTTCGAGAGGCCCAATTTGCCAAATATGCCGAATGTGTGAACTGAATTGGAAACCACCAAACCTCGACTACCACTCTCGTCGATTTCGGTCTGATCACGTAATGTAACTTCATCATGGTAAGAAGCACAGCCAGGTACAAAAGATTGCCTGGGGAAATCAGCCCGGAACTCGATGTTTTTGTTACAATAAAGTGCGATGCGTTTAAGTTCTTACATTCATCAAGTTGTTCTGTCTCATGAAATGTATGATGGTCATCATATGTCATCATAGCTCACATTTACATCTACGTGTAATGCAATCGACGAGCAGTGTCACAATGTCATGATGCGCACGGTGGTTTGTTTGCAACACAAACAGATGTGTGAGTCTCTTAGCGCCCTAGTTTGTTAAGAAGTTTTACATTTCCATACTATTCCACATGATCCCTACCCTGTTACTGAGGTTTCGAGGGGAGGGACCTCAAAAATGTAAGTTACATTTTTTGGCGGGGGGGCTAAATGTAACAACCCCCCCCAGGCACGATTTGATGGTCTTTGGAGGGGGGGGCCTATAAAATGTAACTATGGCCCTCGCAGGCCTTAACTTACATTTTAGGACCCCCCCTTTTCTTTTTTACGGGGGGTTGAATAAATGTAACAAGATACCTCCAAGGTAGTCTCACAGAGGTGTAGTTACATTTTACCCTCCCCCCCCCCGCTTTTAGTTTTGTGGAATTCGGTGCGTTGGCTTGCCGGACAAGGCAGGACTCAGCTCAAATCCTGAATGTGACAGGTTTGCGTTGTCGGCCGACAAAGTGGACAATGGCAATTCACCGAACATGGACCCAAGCAGGTAAACATGCAAGTTTTCAAGCCCTGGACAAACAGTAAGTTACATTTATTATGGTCCTTTTGTGAAGTCTTTTGTCTTTTTGAGCTTGGGAGGTGTGAGGCAGGAGGTTTGTAGTGTGGTGGGCCAAAGGATGCTGGAAGCAAACCCTCCAG